TTAATATGTTCAAGTGCATAGTGTGGAGGACGGCAGTTTATTTTTTTCTTGTCCTTTTTTAATCAAATATTTAAAAAAGGGGAAAAAAAAAAAAAATCAGGCATACTACAGCTTATTTTGGTGTGAAGTGCCTTTTTTTTGCTCCAAGAATTAGCTGCTGCTGTTGGCTGAAATGCCAGGAAGTTTGAGATGGTCAGTCACTGCACACTGCTCAAAGATGGTATTCTACTTGTATCATACGTACAATTTTCCAAAGTTCTTCATATCAGTTGGAATTGTACCCATTTCAACCATAATCTATATCTCTACACACACAAACCGTGATATTGTGTTCATTCAGATGAAATTGGCCCAATTTAAGTGTCAGTTTGTTTACTCGTTACAACTTCTGTTGACCTCTTGCCCAGGTCACTCTGCTTAAGGACATTTATAACCTTGGTGACATTTTACACAGAGAAATGTAGAAATTTCTACAGTAGGTCACTGCTGTCAAATTAGTACATGCACAAACCGGTAATGCAACTTAAAAATTAAGGTAAAAAGAGGCACAATTGAAACCAATAAAGAACTTTTGAAAGCTGTCTGATTTTTTTTTTTAAATATATTTTCTTGAGTATCATCTTAGAGCAGCGGTGTCTATCTCCAGTCCTTGAGGGCCAGCATCCTGCTTGTTTTTGAGATATCCCTGCCCTACCTGCCGTTGATTACCTGGATCAGGTGTGCTTTGCCAATAAGAAGCTACAAGGGCAGGTTAGTTGGAAAACAAGCAGGACAGCGGCCCTTGAGGCCTTGAGTTTGACACCTGTGATTTAGAGCATAACCATGCAGTCCAGGCAAGCAGCATTTGACCACAGGAGAACAACTGATTGTCTGAAACCAGCAGCAGACCAGTCAAGAGCAGCTGATAGTTCTGAGATAGGGAAAAAAAAAAAGAAACAATCACATTGACACTTTTCATCATAACACCATCTGACTATCTATTTGCTTTGATTAAACAAGTATATGCTTTATTCACAGTAAACAACCTGTTGCAAAAGTAACTTTAACAACATCATTTTGGAACTAAGTGTTCCCAAATCTTTATGGAAGTATTTGAGCAGATGAATGACTAACGTGCAGTGTGAAACAGATCATTTGCTGCCCTCTGCTGTGAGATTTCCATACATGTAGAGCATACAAACTCTTAACAGAGTGGTAGTAAATGTGGCTCACCCCTGACAGCTCTTTTCCATTAGTAGTACCTACTCAGATCAGTGCAACTTGAGTTGTTTTCTATTACATTCAAATACTACCTAATGTGCATGGGATCACTATAGCCATGCGGCTGAAAGTCCCATGACATCATTTGTATGCAACAAGAATGTCACAAGGAGGGTGTTGAGGCGATGGTATACCTGCTCCTCTATCAGTGGCTTTTTGTCAGACTCTGAGACCATAGAGTTGTTTTTTGTGTAGCCATTTCCCTCACTGCCAGGTTTTAAAAATATCAGTTTTGATTTTTATGAGGGACACGCTCATGACTCATCAAGTGATGCCACTGACTTACAAATTGGTGTCATGTAGTCTGTTGATGTCCCATTTTCGGATCGCTTGGAACTGTGGCCGCGTAGCTACTGAGAAATAACCTGGTCACTGGTGCTACCACACTAATGGAAAATGGAAAACCCTAAAAACTGAGCCGAGCCGAGTAGGTACCAGTAGAAAAAGGGCTATAAGAGAGTACTGGCTGACCATCTGATAATAGTGGTAAACTGCTACAGCATACCATTGACCAATTCTAGATAACCAGTGGATAACCTGCATCCATCTTACCCTGTCCTCATGATCTTCACATGCCACACTAGGTGCTCTATATGTCCCCCTTCACTATGATGTACTCATTTCTAATCCTGTCCTTTGTGGTCATGGTGAGCTCTGCCTTCCATCTTTCTTTGCTTTTAAAAGTATCCACAAGGGGGGGTTAATGAAGACTCTTTGTTAGGAATTTAATGTGAGTGTCCATTTCTTCACAGATGAATGAGTCAGCTGTAAACAAGTTATTAACCCAAACTTCTTCTACTCACTCCAGGCCATTGGATATGTAATTAATCACCAATCACTACCTACTTGATGAGGAATCAAATGTATTTGACAGTTAGGACAGCTATGCGACCGCTGCCAATAAGTGATGCCTTTCTATTGTAACTGTACCAGTCTGAACTTTAAAATACCCTCCATATCACTGTTTAAAAAATAAAAAAAAGCACTCAATACAAAAAAATAAAGTAGAATGAACAACTTAAAATTAATTAAAAATGTATTACAAAATACCTACCTATAGCATCTGTTTTAAACAATATAAATGACCACATGTTGTGCTTTGTGTACTTTAGTGTGCAGGTAAATCAGGTCCTTGCTCTGTTTGGGATGACTGGGGAGTGACTTGACTTTGTCAGAGGACATTCAGAAGCTTCAAACAATAATCCATCCACAATACAAGAATAGTCATTAATTTACTGCTGCGTGGGCTGGGCTGTAGATACATGGTAAGGTTTTAAAAACTGAGCTTTACAACGTGCTGCCGATGAATAGTGGTAATAAAAACCGAGAGATGCCAACAGTGACCACTAGATCACTAACTTTTTTTTTTCTTTTAAATAGTGGGTTGTTAAGATTAAACAGAACAAGACACCACAGCATTAAAATATGTTAAAAAACATAACAGCCTTAATAAACTAAGAGTATTCCCCAAAGCAGGGTTCACACGTAATCACTTAACAACCGGAGAATAGAAATTAACTTTAACAGAAAGGAGAAAGAACTGTTTGTTGAAATGAGCAAAATCTATTTTATAAATGGGCTTCAGGCAGAGACCGCTGCAACCATGTTCTGTATCATACAATACCACCATTTGTAACGAGTTTGGGTTATCATTCACCAAGTTAGGACGATTTTTATTCATGTACTAACCTAATTAACTACCTTGGCCTTCAAACAATATGGCGGCAGCAATGACGCATCATTTAATAAATCGCTGCTACCAGAGCGCCGTATTGACGTACCGGCACAAATTTGATTTCTGGGACACTTTTAACCAACACAAGACACCGATGTTTTCAGAGCAGACATGAACAGATTTTTACGGGATTCATTAATTTCGGTTAATATAGCTTATTTTAACGCCACAGCGAAATCTCACCGGACACGACAGCCGAGGGAACGACGACGACAACGAATAGCGAAATCCAGGTAGTCAGCGAGCTCGCAGCCATTGTTGTTTAACTGAAAACTGCAGACAGTAGGGGAAAAACGATCGTCAGAACAACATTAATCGAACACAGTCAACTTAAACTTGGAGTAAAAGTTTCCGTTCACTTACTGTTTTTACACCGCGACAGGAAACTGAACCGATACGTCGCAGATCGTAACGTAGACCAATTTATAATTAGGCGTTTACAACATCCAGATTATTTAGACGGGAAATAATCCGGTATGTAGCGGAGATGAGTTGTCGCTCGATTAACGACAGTTTAATCGTTTCCGTTACTCACGAGCTGGCGGGCGCCGACGTGCACGGTGTGAACGCTACTCATAAATGAACACAGTGATCCCGTGACGGGAGCTTACGTAGCCTCCTTACCTTTCCAGAATGTTCTGGAATCTTCCAGGTGAACCAGCGGCTGCAACTAGCTAGACTAACTGATTTTTATCTTTTATTTAATTATTATACTATAAACTAAACATGTTTCCACTTGTTAGCAGCCTACAATCACTACTTAACAAAATAAAAATAAATAAAAACATTAAAACACACAGGAAATACCTGTTCAAACAGGAAATAAACAAAGCTCAAGAATTTTTTTCTCTATACACTTTATTTACAACAATGACAATCTCAAACAGACAAGCGACATATTGAATCATTCAGAAGTTCTGAATGATTCAATATGTCAAATTCAATCTCGCTTGTCTGTATTCTGAATCAGAACAGTATCACACCTCCTTTTTCTTTTCTCCCAATCAAAGGAATACACATCATTGCAACAGTGCAGTTGGTAGACCAAAATGAAACCGACAATAACTGAACTAAACACACACACACACACACACACACACATATATATATATACACATATATATATATATATATATATATACATGTATATATACATACATACACATCTCCAAACCAACCATAGATGTCCATTGTCCATAAATGAAGTGTAATAATTAGAAATAACAAAGGGAAAACTTTTTGAGCACGTGAATAGAAGCAGGTGGAAAAAGGCGTGGAAAGTTATGACACCAGTTGAAATCTATCAGTAATTAGTAATTTGCCACTTGGTGGAAATTGATATCAGCTGATTCTTTCCCAACTGATCGCCTACAAAAAGGTAACTTTTTATCAAGTTTTCACACAACACACATCTCATGATGATTTTTTCAAAGAAAACAATAAGTAATGCACTCATCCGCCATGGCCCATATGCATGCTCACCATGCAACACTCCATTGCTGAAACAAAAGCCTGTTGAAGTACGTTTCAAGTTCACTGAACAACATTTAGAAATAAATAAATAATAATAATAAATAATAAATAATAAAAACTTTAACCACAGCGTGATGCAGTTTGATGTCGTGCATCCACACAGTTTCTGACCACATGTTAGTGGTTGGAACAGAGAGAAGTCAACAGGAACAAAACCACCTCCAGGTCACTTCCTGCTGTCAGCTACAGGAAGACAAAACTTATTTCGTTCAATCTGTAACACAATTGATAAAAGCAATCCTTTCAGTAACATAGTCAGTAATTTTACTCTATGTGTCAGCTAGAGCTATAACACATCCCTGTGGTTTGTTCGGACTGGCAGTGAAGGCATTACACAGGTGCTGATGTTCACTTTAGTGCATTTCTGGAGGAAACCACAACACTGACAGCCAGTCAACGAGAAAGAGGAGGGTTTTGCTTGAAGTGACTTTGAGCTGATGTCAGTGTTGGTCTGATATCATTGAGCAGCAGGATGGAGGAAACGTCTCTGCTGTGTCTGCTCTGTAAGCTCACTCTGTGTTTTTCATGCCTCTGCTGTCTTGTTGAATGTTAAACTCTGAACTAACCTGAGTTTAATTTCTCTTTAGTTCTGATCTCACTGCTGAGCTGCACCACAAACCAAGGTCAGTAACCTTCTTCTGTCACACTGTAAACCTGACTCACTCCTCCAGGAGACTGTGGGACACATTTATTAAGAACATGTGCCAAACTTCAGTCAAATCAATGTTATCTTACTCCTGCCAGTCTACATAATTTCATGTTGAATTACATTTAAACAGATGTCTTACACTCAAATACATCTAGACCTTAACAAAGACTCTTATGTAAGAAATAATATCTGATTTATTATCATCCAGTAACAATTGATAGTGAATGAAAACAAGGAATATAGGACTAGAAGTTAAGATATGAAATGTAATATGGGCCCTGGTCTATATATCCTCTACTACTCTATTACTCTATTACTCACAGCTCGTCTGACTGTGAGTCCCAGCAGCTCTCAGTTCTTTGAAGGAGACTTTGTGTCTCTGAGCTGTGAGGAGGACGACAGCTCTGCTGGATGGACTCTGAGGAGAAACACAAGCAGACAACAGAGGACTCAGTGTGGGGCTGACTGGGGGAAACCAGCTGGTTCTTTATGTAACATCAGCTACATGTACAAATGGGAGAGTGGAGTTTACTGGTGTGAGTCCAGAGAGGGTCCCATCAGTATCATGGTTAACCTGACAGTCACTGGTAAGCTGAGTGTGTGGAGTTAGTGTTGATGAAGCTGTGTGTAAATGGATGAAATGCTGTAGTTTGTCTCTGTGTTGAGGTGGATCAGTGATCCTGCAGAGTCCTGTCCTCCCTGTGATGGAGGGAGATGACGTCACTCTGCTCTGTAAAACAAAGACCACTCCCTCCAACCTCCCAGCTGCTTTCTATAAAGATGGCTCCCTCATCAGGAAGCAGCCTACAGGTCACATGACCATCCAGCATGTTTCCAGGTCTGATGAAGGCCTCTACAAGTGTGACATCAGCGGTCATGGAGAGTCTCCATCCAGCTGGATCACTGTCACAGGTGAGGAGCTTCACTCTGATGTTAACTCCTATTTCATCCACATATTCACCTGAACAGGTGGGATTCTCTCTGCAGAAAAACCTACAGCCACAGTGATGCCCATCACCTCTGCTCTTCCCTCTTCCACAACACTGGCCTCTCACTCCTCCACCCTCCACCTTGCTATCAGAGTGGTCCTCCACCTGGTGGTGTTCTGTCCATATTTCATTTCCACTCTCTTCATGGTGTCTTTATATCGACACAGAGCTAAAGGTAAAACTGAATCATTTCCTCACGTAATGTGCTGATCATTAACTCCTTTTGTTCTGAAATCTTCATTGTCTCACATCTGATACATTTTCATATTTTTTGTTTGTGCAGGGAACAAACTTTCCGTCTCAATCCCGCCCACTCATCCTGAGCAGGGATTAGAGGATAAACATGAGGATGTAATTAATGATGTCACCACAGAGCATCGCTTCTGAAACAAACTTCTGTTGTGTCTCTGTGGTCCTCACTAACTTTGTCCTCTTCACCTCTGACGTCATTGGAGTAAATGGACTCTGATGTTCATCTCTGGATATTTTCATGCAGATAAACAACAAATATTCATCCTAAGAGGAGGATTTCCATGATGTACTGTGTATGTTACTGCAGCTCTGTACCTAAGGTATTTTTCACAAAGTATTCAGATTATTTCTGAATCAAACCTTCAGATCTGATATTGGAGGAAAACCTAAAAACTGTTACGTAGATAATGTTCATGTTTTATGTCCCTGTCCTGCACGATTAAATAGCTGGACTGTTCATGGGCCGGGGTCTTTTCCCCAGCATGTTTTAACTTGAAATTTAAGTCATTTATATTATTCTGTTTTGTGTTTGGTATGTTGTTTTTTTAATTCTTCTCATGTTCTGTTTTGTATTCTACCTTAACTTTCCTTGTTTGTTTGTTTACCACTGCAACTCTGTAACTACTATATTGTAGGAAGCATTCAACTCATTTCTAAATGAAACCTACAACTGCTTTCAGATTAGGTTTTAGAGGAAGATGTTATTCTACATCCAGTTTTATTTTGGTAATTCTTGTTTTCATCTCCTTTCTGATGAGGATGTTAGACTCCTGATGTTTGACTGGAATTATAACTACCAGGCGGTGACTCCATCTGAACCTTTTCCCCTGAAACTACCTGGACTTTGGTTCGCTGCATTTTGAAAATGTAACTTTTGGAGTTAGTTGAATCATTGCAACTTCATCCTCAATAAAGATTAACTTTTGTTAATTTAGTCTGCCTTCGAGTCTGTATGTCATGGTCCTGGGTCATTTTGACCCAGTGTTCTTAGTTTTCCTGTGGTTTTGTATTTTGTTCCTTATGTTCATAGGATTGTTTGGTTTGGTATTTGGGTTCCCCCCGTGTCCGTGCTTATATTGTGGTGTTTGTTCTGGTACCGTGTTCCCACCCTTTGTGTTCTGTGTTCTC